CGCCCGGCTCCTTGCTCGCCTGGTGCATGGAGTAGATGACGAACAGCACGGGCGGCGCGGAGAGGAGCAGGATGTGGAAGAGCCAGAAGCGGTAGTGGGACACCGGGAAGGCGCGGTCGTAGCAGGTCTGGCGACAGCCGGGCTGCAGCGTGTTGCACACGAACTCCTCCTGCTCGTCCTCGAACACCGCGCCGCCCACCGTGGCCAGCACCAGGATGCGGAAGATCAGCATGACCACCAGCCACAGGCGGCCCACCAGCGGCGACTGCAGCTGCACGGCGTCCAGGAGCGAGCTGAGGAAGGCCCACTCCCCCATGGCGCTGGGGGCGAAGGGCGGGGGTCAGAGGCCCGCCGTCAGGGCCCCCACCCAGCCACCGCGCCCCCGGGGTGGGGTCAGTTAGATCTCTAACTTCAGAGTGAGTCTGGGGTCAGCTAGGTCTGCGTTTGGCAGGATTTTGCGGGGACAAAGGAGTTAGCAAGGGGGCGGGGGCGGGTTCTGTGATTCTCAGCTATGGGCGTCCATGTCCCTGGGCCGATGGGTTCTGGGGAGAAGCCGCACCCTTCAACCTGACACCCGTGGGCCTGCTTGGTTGGACCTTATGCTCCTCCAGAGCCTGGATTCGTAGGAGGGGAACTTGGAGATCATCAGGGCCGCCCGACTGCATTTGTTAGAAGCAGCAACCAGTTGTGCCCTATGCGCTCCAGGCTGCTTTCCACGGGTGAGAGTGGTGCCTCGAACCCAGGACTCTAGACCCAATTTGGTACCCCTGGGAGAGGCCAGAGGGACCCCACCTCTTTCTTTCTTTGCCCTTTTTACTGCAGTGAATTTCTCTTTGAATTGTGGGGTGACACAAAAGTAGCCCCACTTCCATGACTCTATCAGAATCCTTTGTCCTGGGTGTCCCCTGCCATCCGACCCCAATGAGGCAGGAGTGCGGCCCAGGCCTCTCCCATCTCCTCTCTGGTACCACTCCACTTCCAGTCTCCCACGTCCCCTGAGAGCCTCCTCAACACACACACAGGCCCCACAGGCTCCTGATACCCCCAGACCCTCAGTCAGCCCCACTCACCCTGTCGCTGGAGCTGAGGTGTTAGCGCTGAGCGAGAGATCTTGGGAGATGGCTGGGACCTGCTCTTCCTGGTCCCTCTTTCATTTTCCCTTTCAGATTTGGCCGGGATGGATGACAGGACAGGATGACCGAGAGGGGCTAGCTCTCCCCCCTCTCTTAAAGGGACAGGGTGACCCTATTGGCTGGGTCCACCCTTGGGAACAGACGTAGGGCTACGTCCCTTACTGGACTCTGCCAGCTCTCCCTCACCCACCCCTGTCCGGAAGCCTGTCTCCATCTGGAAATGAAAGGGCGGGGTTAACTAGAGCTGCATCCCTTACTGAGGAAACTTCATGGAAGCCAGTCCCCAAAAGACTCACCCAAACTGGAAGGCCTAGACCCGCTATCAACTGACTATCCTCTTTGAAGGAAGTCTTCAGGGCTGGAGGGAGGTTTGGTGCTGGTGTTGGGGGCACTGGTATTTTAAGAGGCAGTAAACATCTGCTAGCTCTGGTTCCAGCTCCGCCACTGACCTTGGACAAGTCAATGAGCTCTTCTGGGCCAGAGTCTCCTGGCTTGTCAATTGAGGCAACTGGGACAGCCGACACCCCAGTTTCCTTCCAGCTCTACATCCGAATGCTAAGGTCCCAACCATGTTACAGAGAACAGAAAAACACGTCCCCAGAAAAATTTCACACGGAAAACATTTAGGTATCAAGAATGGCTGGCTTTGGTAGTTAAATAAAAGCTTTTACTTCCTTCCTGCTTTCTGTAATGCCCAGACTTACTATCATAAGCATGTTATTTTATAATGTGGAAAAGAGAGAAAGGCTCCCCTCTCCCCAAGGCTCTGAATTGAATCACCTCCTATTGCTCTAGGTGGCAAGAGAAGCTATCCCATAGGGTGACCCTTGGTGACCTGAGCTGCCAGGGAGGGGACACTGCCTTTCTAGTTTGCCCAACCTGCACACCATTCCCCTCCTGCACGGGTGCTCTGGGCCAAACCGTGTGCAGAGCTCACCACACGAATAAGAGGACTTGACAACCTTGGTAGGAGAGAAGCTGAGACTCAAAGGATCTAAGCCACTTGCCCACAGTCACACAGCAAGTAAATAGCAGGTCCCAGCCTCATGCCTGACCCTACTAGTTCTGAGTTCACATTCTCTCTTTTTTTTTAAAAAATGTGTTTTTTTAAAATTGATTTTTAGGGAGAGAGGAAGGGAGAGGGAGAGAGAGACAAATCGATCGGCTGTGTCCTGCATGCCCCCTACTGGGGATTGAGCCATGTAGTCCCTGCATGTGCCCTGACCGGGAATTGAACCAGAGACCTCTTGGTGCATGGGTTGAAGCTCAACCAGCTAAGCCACACCAGCCATGCCTGAGTTTATACTTTTAAGCCCATCAAGGAACTCCATCCAGCCTGGGTGATTTTCCCAGGGCACAGACACTGGAGATGGGCCATGCCTACCCCTCCCTGAGCAGGAAGGGTGCCAGGACTCACCTGCTCAATGACATTTCCTTTCCCCTTCACCTATGGGGGCCTGTATGTTTTTCCATGTTGACAGGGACCCCCTGGCCTGATTTCAGGAAGGAGTGGGAAGTGTGCCCTTCATCCACTCTGGCTCAGGGGCCCAGCCCAGCCTGGAAAAACCCCAGGTCAACTCTTTTCACCCTTGTGCAGAGTTCCCTTGGGAGTAGGCCAGGGTGGGGAGACACTGCCCTGGATGAGATCCAACGGAAAGCACATGCTGGGGCCCCACACCCCCAAAACAGGAAGTGAGGTGGAGGCACTGCAGACCTCCCCAGCCCCGACCTCCTCCTGCTTCTGGCAAAACTGCTTTCCAACCCCCGACCTCTGTCTGTCCACAGCCATGGGGGCTCAGGGCTCAGGGCTCAGGGACACACTTCATCTCCCTTATCCCTGACCTGTCCCCATGTTCCCTGCTGGGTCAGCCCACTGGCCCAACCTGGAAAAATCCCATCAGACCTGACTGCGGGGAGTGGAAAGTGGTAGAAGTGGTGGGCTAGGGTGGAGCAGGAGGTGGAGAGCCCATGGTCACCCTTCGATGTCCCCAGCCCGATGCTACAGGGCCAGACACAGGAGACTCTACAATCTCCGGGCCCATCCTCCTTCCCAGATAGTGCTGTCCAGCCTGGGAGGAGGTGTCGCTGATGCTAACCAGGGCTGGCAGCACGTGGCTCCATTTTTGGCCAAACTTGAGGTCCGGGGATGGGCTGAGAGGTCTGTCCTGCCCTGGTGCACATTCGATCCTTTCCCAGACACTTGCCTTACCTTCTCTGGCTGTGGAGCCACTTCCCATGTCTGCCACACATAGACATACATAAGCAGGCACATAATTGCTTGTACCCAGTAAGTGACAGCATGAGGAAACGACTGTGTTTTCTCTTCCCTGTGCCCCTCTAACATTTTAAAAAGTCTTTAAGGAAATGTTGCCTTTTAGTGATGTCTTCACTAGCCACCCTAACTGGAATTCAACCTCCTACTTCCTGTCTTTTTTCTCAGCTTTATTTTCTTTGCACTGATCACTACATAACATACTTTTTCTTATTTATCCTGTGTAGATCCATCTCTTCCATTATCACATAAGCTCCAGCACCTAGTGCAATTCCTGGCATGTAGTAGATGCTCAATAAACACTTGTCAGGTGGATGAATGAATGAAGTGGGATGGGAGGTTACAGAGGGTGCAGATCTTCTTTGCCTCAAGATGATGAGAACTCTGGCGGGTCCCATGCCTCAGCTGCTTATTCTGGTGTCCTTTAGAGCTTGTGGTCACTGAAGTGGCCCAGCCTGGTCTGAGATCAGTAATCAGAATGTCTAGTCCTGGGTAGAAATGGAAACTCCAAAATAGATTAACGGTAGAATTCTCCTGCCCGCCGCCCCGCCCCCAGCCTGAGTGTGAAAGGCCAGAGGTGAGAGGCTGTGGGCAGCCCCTCTGCAGCCCCTCCCCCAGCGGCCGCACAGCTTCTGACCCTTCAAGCTCTTCCCCAGGCCTGACCACCTTCTGCTCGCTGGTCTCCGCTGCTCCTCTCGCCTCTCCCCTGGCCCTTAGCCTTAACTGGGTCTGGGGCTTGGCAGTCAGGCCTTACTTTCTCCCTTGGCTCTATTTAAGATTATGTTCGGCTGTAATAACAGCAAAAATACTAAACAAAAGACACAGGGACATCTCTCGCTTGTAGCAGTCCCAGGGAGCTACCACGTGACCCACCTGCTTGCATACCATTGGCCAGGATGACCTTCCGCAAGGAAGGCTGGGAAATGTAGTCTTTATCCTTGCGCCCAAGGCGGGAGAATTTAGCCTTGGCTGTCACAGATCTGTTTGCTGTATTGGCCCTCCGCACCGACCTGGGGGGTCAGGGGGACTCAGTTCCCTACCAGGGCTGCCCCCACCAGCTACCCCTATGCAGCTCCTCCCCGAGGGAGAGGGAGACTTTCCCCGTCTTGCTCATCTTGTCCGTAGGCCCTTCCAGACCACTGCCTCTCAGGGACTTCCTTTCTGTGTCTGTCTCATCCCCTCTTTCCTATTCTTGAGCAGAGAAGTCATTACCGCCACCTGGAGGCCCCACCTGGTCTCTTTTTTTGTTTTTTAAAAATACATCTTTATTGATTTCAGAGAGAAGAAAGGAGAGGGAGAGAGAGAGACAGAAACATCAATGATGAGAGAGTCTTTGATCGAGCCCGCAACCCGGGCATGTACCCTGACCGGGAATCGAACCCCAATCGCCTGGATCCCAGGTCGATGCTCAGCCTCTAAGCCACGCCCGGCCTGGCCCCACCTGGTCTCTTTTCCCCATTTCGCCCATTTCTAGGTTGTACTTTGCTTAGAAAGGACCATAACTGAGCCTGACAGTGGCTAGGACCTGCAGGCAGCCTCCATCCGAGTGACCGAGGGACCTGGGAATCCCGCTCTTCCTTTCCTTGAAGGCCCAGAGTGAACTGGCAGATGAGAGAAACTGCTTTGGGATTGGGTTGGGGGAAGGCTAAGGATCTGAGTTATCAAGAGGCATTTTCTCAAAGCCCATTTCCCTGCCATGCAGCTCTGAATGGCCCCTGTTTGTAAGTGCCAGGTTGTGTAAGCCACCACAGTCACTTCCTGTAGCCCTGGTCCTGGACCTTCTCTCCATCACCCGCAGGATCTGATAACTGAAGATCAGCAGGTGGGCACACCAAAGTAACTCCGTCCCTAAAAAGCAGTACTCCTGGGTCCTAGGAACTGCCCTTGGCCAGGCTCTGGAAAGTCAAGGGAAGTTACTAGAGGCAGAAGACAAAGTCACCTTTAGATGGGGCTTCCTTTCCTCCTTCTAAAATAACATGTACTGGTATATCTTTTTGCACTCATCAGGATGGATTGGGCCACTTTGAGGCCAATGAAGATACTGTCTTACTGAAAAGAAACAAATCTTGACACCAGAAAGT